GTGAAATCTGTAGGTCTGTCGTTTGTTCCTAGGCTGAATGACAAAGGCATCTTTAGGACCCACTGTCGAATTTTACCAACTTTGCATCTCTCCCTCTAGCACAATCATGGGATTCCCAAAATCTGTCCTATAGTGGACCTTCATCAGCACACTTAGCTTTATCACTCCTGAAATTTTTGTTTTTAGCCAAGCCAATGTGACCGAGAAAATCAATCTTGAATATTTTGTATGGTATTTATAACAGTTGTAACGATCATTTTCTTGAGAAAAAATTCAAGATCGGTTCTCTCAGTCAAATCACCTTGACCGAAAATGAAAATTTCAGGAATGGTAAAGCTAAGTGTGCTGATGAAGGTTCACTAAAGGACAGGTTTTGAGAATCCCCTGTTTGTGTTTGAGAGGTGGTGCAAAGTAAGTAAAATTTCGAAATTAGATCCTAAAGATGCCTTTGTCATTCGACCCAGGAACAAACGACAGATCTACAGATTTCACAGTTGACTAGAGGACATTTAGATGATTGTAAAGCACTAATAAAAGTTGAAAATTCATTTGGACTTTATAGAGATACTTGAGTCTAAAATACAGAACACGGAAGCAAACAACGTCCGCTACAAAAAATGATCATCTCAACAACTAATATTTATGATAAAAATTTTAAACTTCTATCAATTGAAACAGAAGAGCTGGCAAAGACCCAGTTTGACTGGGGGGACCGTACCTTGTCCCCTCCCATGTGGACTCTTTTTGAAAGATTTTTAAAATTTTTTTAAGCCTACGACTATGCTTACAAACTCAAGTCCTACAGGCTTAGAAAGTTTCATTCCATTGACAGAAAGTCGTTGTATACTCCGATACTTTTTCAAAAAAGTCATCATAAGTATATTTTATTAATTTTTCTTGTTCTATACATTTAGAAAAAAATTGGCTTAATCTTCGGTATCATGCAGATGGTCAAATTAAAAAGCCTGATGAATTTGAAAATGAAATGGAAAATCCACCTAATCTAATCGATGAAAAACTACTGGATAGAACCTCTGGTTCATTGATTGGAATGGCTTTGGGTGATGCTCTTGGAGCACATGTTGAGTTTCGTCCTCATGCACATTTACTTGCAAACCCAGTCAAAGATCTGGAAGGAGGTGGTACATGGGGTCTTAAAAAAGGACAAGTATTATTTCTTCATTGTATTTTACAATTGAGACAACTAACACAAAAATTCATGAAGTTTTTTAACTATAAAATAATTACATCATAGAGACATTTGAAGTTTGAATAGTTAGATAGAATTGACATCATTCTATTCGAAAATTTGACATCTTTTTTAAAGACGAACTGCTATGTAGGACTAGATTAACTAAATTGAGCTTTAAAAACGATCATTTCCAAAAAGGAAAGGTATTTTCTTATAAAAACTATTACTTACCTTTGTTGGTGCAAAAATTGTGACTAAAATCTTCTTATCATAAACGAGAAAAATAAGCATATTTAAGACTACTTTGAAGTAAGTGACATGACAGGAACCTTTGTTGATCCAATCGATGAGAGACGACCAGATCAAATCCGTAACTCTTTGATTGAATTGGCTTAGGATGATGTTCTTGTGGTGCATGTTGAGTTTCATAGTTACAAATATTGACTTGCATATTAAGTCAAAAATTAGAAGGAGACAGCATATGACATCTCAAAAATGCACAAGTATTATTTCTTCACCCTACTCTATATTAGAGAAACTTAAAACAAAGTGGTACTACATACAAAATAATTTACTGAAGTTCGAAGTGTGGGTCTGCAGTTCTTGTCTTTACATAAACTCACACCCCCACTGTAACCAACGCTGACATTCACCCTCGATATCTATTGCTCATATCAAAGGATAGTGTATCAAGATTATATCTGAAATCGCTCTTTATATAATTTAAGCTGACATGTTGGATAAGATTTCTTTCGAAAATGAAACGACTACATTGAATAATAGTAATTAAAGTGATGTTCTGAAAAAACTATGGATAATACATTTCTTATAGAAAACAAATCTCTGAGGACAACAATGAGCACATTATCTTTTAATTAGAATACAATGATATTGTCGAAGGTTTTTTACCAATTATTGTAGAAGATATAAATGTTTTAGTTCACAGATGACACATCAATGGCTCTTTGTTTGGCTAATTCATTAGTAGTTCGTCGTGGTTTTATACCTTATGATCAATTAGTTCGTTACAAATGGTGGTTTGAGCATGGATATATGTCATCTACAGGACATTGTTTTGATATTGGTGCAGCTACTTCTCAATCACTACAAGAATTTATTCATCGCCAAACAGTGTTTGCCGAAAGTTATCGTATCCCTCTCGAAAAACTAGATTACCTTTCAGATCCTAGTCTTCTTCAAGAGTTTCCAGTTTATTGCAGTAAGTCTGGTGTCGCTGGTAATGGAGCTCTTATGCGTCTTGCACCTGTTCCACTTTTTTTCTATAAACATCCACAAGAAGCTACAGAATTCTCTGGCTACAGTGGACAAATTACACATGGTGATAACAAAGCATACGATGCATGTCGATATTATGGAGCTTTGATTTGTGCCACACTTAATGACTATACGAAAGAACAATTGCTTGATAAAGATTTTTACAAAAAACATAAGTCATGGTTCGGTAATAAACCACTTTGTGAAGAAATAAAAAAGATTGCCGAAGGATCTTATAAGAAAAAAGGTGGATATCAAGATGGAATTCGTGGCAAAGGTTATATAGTCAATGCTCTTGAAGCTGCTCTATGGGCATTTTGGTCTGATAATAATTCTTTTGAGCAGGGTGTACTTGCTGCTGTCAATCTTGGTGATGATACTGATACAACAGCTGCCATTTATGGTCAATTAGCTGGTGCATACTATGGATATAAAAAACTTCCGAAAAAATGGGTAAATCAAGTGTATGCTAATAAATTTATTATAAATTTGAGTAAATGGATAGTATATGAAGGAGAAAACTGGAAACAAACGAACGCAATTCTTCCATCTCATCCACCTTCAGTTGATTTGTCTGCATCGAATGAATCTGAAACATTTTTTGCTCAGCATCAGCCTAGATCAAGATCAATGTTGTTATCGGAACAAAATGGAAGAAAGTGGAATGATTCAGATGGTAATCAAAATTTGTCTGATAGTGGAAACATCGCTTCATCGGAGTTAATTAACCAATCTTCAACGCTGAATAGCAATCCAAGTACAACATACACAGAAACAAGTCAAAACACTGCCAATGTTGCTCCGACTTCGGAAGAGAGGTCACAGTTATGAATTTCTAAACGATCAGAAACCTCAGACATTCATACATATACATGTAATGATTAAAACTATCATTGTAAATAACTACTCTTGAACAAGTCTAGAAATAAACAAAACGCTCAAATAAAATATTTTCTATTATATTAAATGTTCTTGACGCAAATATTGAATCCAAGCATTTAAAAACAGTTCTCTTGATAGTTGTCATCAGAGCTGCTTAAACGGGAGCATTCATAAGAGAACGTTTATTTCTAATATTTGTTGTTATATTTCAGTTTACATTCTATTTCACTAAAGTTCTTTTTGTTAGCATTTTGATTCCGATCGTTGTATAGAATAGTCCCTTGAAGATGTTTATGATTGAATTCGATTTATTGATAATGATGATTTCGTTGAATTTGAAGTATTCAGTTCATATAGTCGGCAAGTTGTTGTTGCCGACATCAAACTAGTAAAATAAAAACTTTTAATGTCACTGACATTAGATAGTACTCCTGACAGTGACTTTTTCACTGTTGAAGGTTTTGTTTCGCGTCTACATCTAAAAGATTCTATGTATTTGAATACTATGTCGTGTGTTTTGAAACAAATTCAAGACAAGGTCGCATTTAATATTATATAATGAAATCCTAAAATGATTCGAATTATTATCATTTGACATTGATATTAATAAAATAGAACGTTTTTATAATATCAAATTATATTGAATGTTTCTTTTTCAAATTAGTTTTATTAAAACTGTTTTTGATTGGAAATTCGTTTATCGAAATGGGTCAACATTATCGACTATTTTGTTTCAAAAATATAGTTCTGCTCAAAAAAAGATTTTTAGAAAAAGAGAAGGAAAGAAGCAAAGTGGAATGCTACTGGTTCAACAAGTAAATCATAATCGAGTGATTTCCATTGAGATGGCAATGCTTTATTATGTCTCAACTTATATCGGATCAATTTCCTATGCTCGATAGACTACTAGATTATGAATGGTTATGCAAGGTTATGCACTTCATGTCATCAGTTGAACATATTTGCAAATATTCTAATCCTACGGGAAGTCTAATTATGTTTGATATTGTATTACTTAATCCGATTCCTGTCATTATTGGTGATGAACTATCATTGATTCCAAGCGGAAACTTTCGTTTTTATATAGTGTAGAAAAATATTCTGATTATCAAGATCATTAAATTTCCTTGGTACCTATTAATTATGACACATTGTAGAACTTTTGTTCACCATCAAGTGAAATTCAATATGTTCCTTTTAATGAATTTGTTGTTTTTGAATAATATGCTATTTTATCACAGGTGATTATTCATATCAATTTCAGAATATTTCTGCCACTTTTAACGAAACTTTTCACAGAATATTTCTCTTCAAAGAATGAAATTAGACTAATCAAAGATCTTTTAGCCTTTAACAGAGGTTTTTCTTCTTTATATTAAATAATTTCAAACTATTAAAATCATCTTAATAATAAAGTACCAGGAATTATTCTACTGTATATTGATTAAAAGATCAACTTTAAATCTTGTTTAATGAAATAATAAAACCTTCCATATGTAATAGATTTTCATTTACCATATTCACAGTGAGTAATGAAAGTTTGAAGTTCATCTATATTTATTACTAGTGAACGTTATATCAACGTTATTATTATCCAAAGCTTTATATTAGTTTCTTATTTGAAATCTTAATCTTTTACAACAAAGCATAATTATAATTCTAGATGAAATGTATTATCAAGTTCAAAAGCCGAATTATTATTGCCATGCTTAATATCCGATTGATATTGAGAAGTCGATTGGTCAGTCTTTGATCCATAACGACCATAACGATTTTCGATTTTTGCTGGTCCCCATTCAATATCCGGTTTACTTGCATAAACCAACATCCTCAAGTAATGCGGCATATTATCAATAACCTTTAAAATAAAACAAACATATGTATTTAAAAAAATCATCGAAAAACAAATTATTTCTACTGGATAGTGAGAACTGTCTGTAATTTTCCACGCTTTAATAAGTTCATAAATCATAATACTCGGAATGAAGATGAGTGATGAACAAACCATAAGCCAGCCAAGTGCATTGGCATATGCTGGATATTCATAATTGCCTTCAGTTGGTGTTCGAAATCGAATAACTGATGAAAAAAAGATGATCTAATTTCAAAGCAAAAAACAACAAAATTTCCGAATTAAACAATAAACACTTTATTATTTAATTTACTATTGTCATTATTGGACCAGAAATACACCAAGTAAAAAACCAAACTGGTTCTAAAGGTCTTTTACCTAACATCATTCGAATATCTTCCATAAAATTATTAAAACCTGGAAAAAGAAAGACTTAACCTAATATTTGATCTATATCTATATTACCATAGATATAGGCAATAAGTATAAATTCAATAAATGCACATGCAAATACAGATAAATTAGATGCATATTCATTCATTAATGTCTATAAAACAAATTGAATTATCAAAATACAACAAACAATATATACATACAAATAGATAAATACCACCCTAAACAAAAAAAAACCAATCAAAGTATATATTATTATCTTTTACATATTATATTACGGGTGCGCATATTGGTAATGCTAGGAAAAAACAAACAATACAATAACTGATTGTTACAAAGACTTTATGACGACGTAATTGTTTAAATGTATCGAGTAAACCAGAGATTATAACATCAGCGAAAGCAAACTAAAGATAATTTCTATAATAAATAAAATCATAGTTTTATTATATTAATTTACTTGAGAATCTAGTCCAAGAGTAAGTAACATAAAAAAGAAAATTACAGCCCAAAATGGTCCACCTGGCATAATTGATAGTGCTTGTGGATAAGCAATAAACGCAAGACCTGGTCCACCTTTAGCTACTTGTTCAATAGGTAAACCCGTTTTAAATGACATATAACCAAGAATTGAAAAAATTGCAAAACCAGCAAATACCTATTATTTTCATTGGCAATAATTTATTCAAACATGTAGAAATCATTAACTCACTGAAGTAAAACAATCGCAAGCCGTAACAAAAATACAATCTCTAAATAAATACATGTATATGTAGATTAAATGTACAAAATTAAGAAATTAAATTAATGAAGAATTATTAACCTGAGGTAGTTAGCATTAAATTTATTGAAACTAGCATAACCGAGAAGAGGGCCAAATGCAACCGATAGAGAAAATGTAACCTAGTAGATTGAAAACTTTGAAATATGTAAAAATTGGTGACTGGGCAATTCGTTGTGAATGTTGGTTAGTGTCGAGATCCGCACTCACACCAACATCCACGATGAATTGTCTAAACATTGCAAAAATTCATGAAAAAAAAGCAACAAACTTGATTAGCAGCAGCAATCCATACCTTCAAAAGAAAATATAAATTTTAACAACAACAAAAAAATCTACTAAGTAAACAGATATTCTCGTTGAAAAATTTCATT